ATTGAATACAAGTTTAAAAAGGTTATAATTTCATTGTACAGGTCACTGGTTAGGCTGCATTTGGAATACTGTGTTCAGTTTTGGGCTCCTTACCTTAGGAAAGACATTGAATTGTTGGAAAGGGTTCAGAGAAGGGTTACTAGAATGGTGCTTGGGATGGTAAGGTTGTCATACGAGGAGAGGCTGAAATCTCTCAAATTATTTTCTCTTGAAAAAAAGAAGAGTTAGGGGGGGGGGGATCTGATTGAGGTGTTTAAGATTGTAAAGGGAATTAACAGTGTTGATGCATCATCTTTTTTTCATATTCAACAGTGAGAATAGTAAGACTAGGTGACACAAATATAAATGTTGGCAAGGTAGGAATCATCTTCAGCTAAGACAGTTTCATTTTTCTAATAGGGTGGTTACCCTTTGGAATGGATTGTCTTCGGATGTTGTAAAGGCAGTAAATTTAAGGAAAAGCTTGATAAGTATATGAATGATATGGGCTAACTTTAACACGATTTTTTTAAAATTACTGTAATCTAGTTTAGAGGATGTAACAGCCAAGATGGACCAATAGGTCCCATGTTATCCCAAAACATTATGTTATGTTGATTTTTGGTACAAGTTAGCATGACACTCATACTGTGTTTGTTAATTTGTCAGCCTTAATAACAATCAATCTTGATAATTTTTTTATTACTAATTGACTTTTGCTACATTAAAAAAGTTATTAAAATTATTACATTTACAGTATGTTAATGCCAAACTTCATTCTTTATTAGAAAAACAAGGACACACATTGTTGCCTACTATGGACTGTAGACTAACAAACCAGATATACATGACATGTTTGAAGTGCTTTTTTTTCTCTTTCTATTATGTACATACTTGTCTTCATCCAAGTTCTTACTTCTTGGATAAAGTGCCTAATGTCCACAGTTCTTCTAGCTTTCGTAAATTAGGATCTGACGAAAATTTCACCTCTTATGCAATGGCCATATATGTATCAAAGAATGAAGACTGGAAATCTTTCACACTGAAAACACATGTACATACATAAACATTATATACATGAAAAAAAAGTAATTAGGAACAAACACATGAAAGTTTTTGTTGGTATTTGGTACTCGAGTACGTATCTGGTATGAATTATCAAATATTCCAACTTCCATCAAGGAAAATAGAATTCCTTGTAATTTTTTTTTTTTTTTTGATGAAACAAAAAAGTTAGTTTTCCAATTTTGTAAAAGTCAAAATATAACTTACCTTAGGTTTGGATTATGAGAAACAGTATTTGTTTTTTTCTTCCCAATACCAAAAAGACCATGTTTACTCTATTTCTTCATACATGAAAATCCTCTGTTTTTCTTTGGGAAATGTGGAATTTTTTTAAACAAGTTCTGACTCAGCTGCATTTGAACTAAGGAGAACAATGGTAAAAAATGGAACTCAGATCATTGTAAAGATGTTTATTTTATATTAGTGTGATTAGGGTGTGGGGGGGGGGGCTCTTTCCTTTAAGGACCAACCAGAAACCAAGCATGGAATTGGCTCACTTAGTTTCTGCTCAATAGTGGAAGCCAGAACAATGACCTTTGATAAAAATAGAATACAAGTTTCTTGAACCACATACTTGGTCAAGAACTTGAAGTATGACATCAATGAAATGAAATTAATTATGTTTTTCTCATGTTAAGTGTGTGACAACACAAATTTCATTGAGGCATTCATATAAGATGAAAAAAACATTTGTAAACATAATAGAGAATATTATAGGTGTTGACAACTGCTTAAAATTTGCAGTGCTCAGAGTTCAGATGATAACGTACAAATATACTCAAAGTACTGTGTATGATAAAATCATGTTGAGCATTATTTTGTGTCTATTTGAAAATACTGATGACTCAATTGAATTTTGATCATTTTTTACTTTCTTATAACTGAATGAAATTTTTATGATGAGTAAATTGCCATCAAACTAGAAACAACTTACTAATGTTTTTATATGGAAATCTCAAAGCTTTCTAAACAGAGAAAATGGCAGTGTCACAATAAATGTGAGAAAAAAACTAAATACACTCATTTTGTAATCATAACAAAACATAGAAATACAAAGAAATGCTTCTTGCCCATAAAGTCACAAGCTTTATCATATTCATTTTACTCGTATGTTACTTATTATTATTTATTTCACTGTAATTCTCATCCTTTCCAGATTTTTAACAGTCTTCATTAGATCTGAAAAACTGTCTAAATAAAATATGCTTTCTTGAGGACTGAACAATCTCATCCCATCCCTTTTTTTGTTGGGTTATCATTACAAAGCAGACTCAGTTCCCTTGTAACTGGACAATGTAACTTACCATAGATACGTGACACTGAGTACTGTTGGATTACTACCGTATGGAAATCACCAGCCTATTCAATTTGTTTCACTAATGCACTGCACCAGTGACAGCAAAGGAAACCACAGCTATCTCAAATTACGTAAGGAGGGAAAACATATCTCAGATCTGTGAAAAGTCAAAACTTCTGCCTTGTCTTGATTCTAACTTATCTGAATACTCAATTCTGTGACCTGAAGGTTAAATACTTGTGATTCACCAGAGATATTTCTGTGTAATGAGAATAAACTACTTGTTATAAATTAGCTTTGCTTAGATGAAATGTTGTTTACTTGGAATAAGTGTCACTACCCATACACAGTAAACTGACACCTTTGTGCTTTATCTGTTTATTTTGTGAAAACTTCATTACACCAGTGTTGACCTAGGATAAAACATAATGCCAACAGTTACAAAATTATACCTTTAGAATACTTACTGATATGTGACCTTGTTTAGGTATCATCACACAAGAAAATATCAGTACCAAAATTGTTTGTATTATAGAAGAACTGTATGAAGTATTTTGTGTTGGCTATATTTTTCAAATAAAGAGGTCAGTTTGCAGTTCCAACTTCATCTCCAGGTATTTCAAGAAAATGGCCATCTCTTTGTTTAAAATTTTAAAAACTGAAATGTTTTACATACAGAAGAAAAACTGAAATTTTGTAATTAACACTAACAGAGTTATAGTTGCAGGCAGTGTTCAGTAGAATCAATAGCTGGACTAAAGAGAAAGCTATCATAAAGAGATTACTGGGGAGGAACATGGCAATGAATGAACACATGTGAAAGATATGTAAAGATGAATTTCCAAATTCAATTAATTAAAACTGAAAATGGCTAGTGGGAATAACTTGAAGTAATATACAGAAATGTATTACACAAAGACAGATGGATGAGAACCTGGGAATATTTCTTTAGTTACAAACTAAAGAAGTGTTTTCTTACTTTATCTGTATATATTATGTGTGCATGTCATTTAGACATCAATGATTACAGAGTTTTTCTCATGAAGAACTGTTTGCTTGTAATAATATTATAGACATATTATATATATGTATGCTTTTATCTTTATGCATACTAATAAACTGAGTCTGATTTTTTCAGACTATATTATATTAATTAACAATTATATGAATTAACAACACAATATTAATAATTTTGATATTTTTCAGTACAAGTATTTTGATACCATCATAAATGCTAAATATAACTTGTATTTGTTATTGGACTTTCTGGTATGTCTTGTTTATACTTAAATTTATAATTCAATTATTACATGTCAAAAACAACCAAAGTTTATGATGACTAATGGCAAAAAAAGCACTCCTTCAGCTTTTAACACAGAATTTATTTTTGACTTGTATGTAGACTGCATTTCTGAAATATATATTACCTCTGTCCAGTTTCTTGTGTCTACAGAATTCCATATACTAATGTTGCTGCCTTTTTCCATGGGTTTGGTATGTTTCATATGGTCTACATAAATTTGAATTATATATCGTATGTCATCTTATAGAGTGAACAAATATGCACTAAAAGAAAGTTACATTACATAATTTTTGAAGAATTTTGTGTATCTATATAAATATAATAATACTGTCTATTGCCTGCTCATGTAACTACTTTGCAGGATGTGGATTGATCTTCACCAAATTGATATGGAGGTTCATTAGGTCCATGCAGGGGTATATACAAATTTTCAGTTTTGCATTTTGCAGTTTGTATGGGCATTTTTGCATTTTTTTTTACCATTACTTCACCCCCTGTGAATTGATCTTCACCAAATTTACCATGAAGGTTTGTTGAGTCCATGCAAACTTGTGGTTTTAAATTTCGTGTTTTGCAGTTTTTGTAGGCACTTATGCATTTTTTACAATTACATGTAAGGGAAGCAACTTTATGTCCTAAGCTAACCTTTCATTAATCACGAATTTACATAACTTCAATCCAGAGGACGGGTACTCCAGCCGGTATGAAATATTGCCATAGAGCTGTTTGTGTCAAGCACATCTTTTTGTATTCTGTGTAATTCATCCACACATAATAGCTTGCTACCATTGAATATTTAGTTTGTAAGTCAAACCAATGATGTTTACAGCTAGAGTTATTCACATGACATTACTAAATGATTGACTAACCAATTACAGAAGTGTATTTATGTGCTTTGAGCTAGAGCTGAAGTTCATTAGTCACAAGACAGCAGTTTCCAACAAGGTGTTGGGTGCTGAAAACTCCACCCACCTTTCATTTCTAAACAAATCAAATCACTAGCCAGAGGTGAATTTCAATGCACTACTGCTGCCTTCTATAAAGTCGAGCTTATTACCTGAATTGGTTATATCAAAAATTTAATCTGGAATTTTCAGTTTCATGAAAATAAAATAATTATAACAGTCAGTTGAAAAAAAGCAAAATATTTTCAAACTGTAAAATCACTTAAAGTAAAAAGATTTCTGATTACATACAGCACAGAATATTTGGAGATATATCTGACAAGTTAATAAAAATATTTTATGGCAATAAAATCATATTAAAGAAATATTTTTTTACCATTGTTCAAGTTAATCCACAGCTCTACTATGGTATTATTGTATTTTTGATAGAATAACTATTTTTTAACTCTACCTGCTGTAGTAGATTTTCCAACTCCACCTTTTCCAGAAGCAACAACTATAACTTGTTTTACTCCAGCAATTGGCAATTTCGTTGGTAAACCTTTTGGTGCTTTTGGATTATGGTCATTCTCTCTTGACTGCTGTGGAAAATAATAACTTTCATATACAAGTACTAATCCAGAATATCAAAAATTGATCTAAGTTAAATACACAAAAGGTATAGTAAATGGAGAAACTTTTTTAATAAGTCACAGATATAACTAGCTGTTATCATCACAACTAAACTTCCAAAGTTACAGGTATCTATGGAAAAAAAAAATACACTATAGAATCCCTCTTTTTGTTTTTCTTTTCTACAATAAACTAACACTTTTCTTTTTCAGACCAAAAACTTCATTGTATAATCTTATACAAGATTTTGGTGAGACTTCGTGAAAAGTATTAATAGATTTTGGTCTCTTTACTGTAGGAAGGATATCAACATGATGGAAAGAGGGCAAAGGAATCTGTGCTAGGCCACATACATCTGTACCTTATTCACAGTAATGACACTGATAGATGTATAGTTGAGAAATTCATCATGGTTTCATGTTTAATGTAAAAGTGGTAGAACTAGGCAACACAAATTTAAGGTTTGGCAAAGTAGAAATCATGTGCAAATTGGGAAGTTTTATTTGGAATAGATTGACTTCCAATGTATTTCAAGAAAGAGATGAGTACTTGGGGTGGGGTGTTAGGGCTAGATACAATAAGACAGAAGTTTCTTGAAATGAATGGGACAGCCATGATGGGTCAAATTGCTCCTTATTGGTCCCCAAATCTTGTATAAGAATCATAGACTTGGCTGTCTGTAATGAGAATGCTACGATCTTAGAGACTTAGATCACTTGGTTAGTCAAATAAATATGTAGTAGATGACATTTAATGTTGTTAAGTGTGAGGTTAAATTACACACACAAATTACATTGGGCTATGACTGCCAAAGTATCTGCTTGAACGGGCAAAGAAAATCTCTAAAAATATATGTAAAAAAATAAATATAAATGAATACAAAACATACTTAAAACTTATTACAAAGTTGATCTGAAGTTTCAAACTATTCCATCCAGTAGATTTTTTTGTTTGTTTCTTTTTGCAATGCAATAAAACAAACCTTACAACAAGTGCACCAAATCAACACATCCATGACTTTGAGGGTTGAATTATAACTATCAAGTTGATGGAAATCAATTAAAGTGTGTTATGGAAGAAAAGTATCTTATTTTGGTCAAACAGTCTCTTAAGACTACCACACAGTGTAGCCAGGGAAAAAGCAAATAGGATTTTGGGTTGTACCAACAGGAATGCTAAATATAAGTCAAAGTTATAGTTTCTTTCTACGTATCTCTGGCTAGGCCTCATTTATAAATTTGTGTTGTTCAGTCTTGGGCTCCTTATTTTAAAAAAGACACCAAGTTGTTTGAAAACGTTCAAGGGAGGGTTACTAAAATGATATCTAGGACAAAAGGATTGTGATATGAGGACAGGTTAAAGTCCTTAAAATTATCCTTTTTTGAGAATAGAAGTGTCAGAAATGATTTAACTGAAGTGTTCAAAATTATAAAATGGATAGGACTGATGCATCATCTTTTTACATGTTTAAGTGGTTGGATTAGGGGACATAGATTTAAGATTTGGCAGTGTACTAGTTGATCTGAAAGTTAAAACAAATAAGTCAACCTTTGGAATAAGCTGTCTTCAGACATGGTAGATGCAACAGGGTTGGGAGAGTTCAAGAGAGAGGGATTTGATGAATACTTGGGGAGTTAAGACTGGATATAGGCAGATGGGTATTCAATGAAATGAATGGGACAGCTATGAAGACAAAGATGCCTCTTGTCCTTCAAATGTTATGTTATTTAATATAAGGGAGAATTCAGTTAATTATGTGGATGACGAAAATGACCTTAAGGTATTTTTGATACAAATATTAAGTCACTGATACAGTGGTTTGTTGCAAACAGTAAAGTTAACAAAATCTTGGATTTCATATATAAGAATACTGATTACAGCCTACAAGTCTAAAGAGATTGAGGCTTTTTTTGTACAAGTCATGAAATATCTCATAGTACTGTACACAGCTTTGATCTTTTCTCAAGAAGGTTTGTTTATTTGTTTGAAGTTATGCACAAAGCTACATAATGGGCTATCTGTGCTTTGCCCACCATGGGTACCGAAACCCGGTTTTTAGCATTGTAAGTCCGCAGACATACTGCTGTGCCACTGGGGGGGTCTCAAGAAGGACAATGAAAATGAAATGTTGGAAAGAGATATGAAAATGGTTACTAGAATGATTTCAACGATGAATTATCATATGATATGCTAAGATCTCTTAACCTGTTCTCTCTACCAATCCCTCTCAATACATTTAGTTTTAATAAAGCCAAGGTTATCTCTTACCCTGTCTGTCATGTCAGACTTTAAGTTTTAACTTTGAAGTTTACTGTGTAGTCTTGGTATAGTTTAAATGCAAGGCCGAATTAAAAGGCGGGGCAAACAGGGCAGTTGCACAGGACCCCCAAAAAATTAAAAATAAAATTAGATGGGGAAAATGAATAGATACAGTAAAACAAAAATATAGATCCATTTTTTGAAAATAAATAGGTTAACTTTTCAAGTCTATGAATGGCATTGTTTTTGAGTCTATTTTTTAGTAATATTTTATATTGGTTCTTAGTTTTACTCTTTTTTTTTTTACCCCACTTAGATTTCTGCACAAAAAAAATCTATGAAACTTGGGCGAAGTAGATCGAATGGCATACCATACGAAAAGTATAAAAGTACCAAAAGGGACCCAAAAATTTAACGAGCAAAACTAAAATGAATCCTTGCCCTGGACCCCCTTTTTTTAAGTTCTGCCCTGTCTAAAAGTACACGCGGTTTTTAAGTTATAATTCTGCAACAAATCACTATAAACCTATACAAAGGTATACTTACTGGAGAATAACTGTTTACTGACAGTAGATACCTTGATTTTATTTTAACGACACATTTTGTTTGGTAAGCATTATTACTTGACTGAAGAAAGGTCAATCCTGTCTTTAAGTTTAATTTACAAAATATTGTCATCGTTGTGGGCACACTAAGAATGTAAATTAAATAAACTCCACCTGGTAGTGGTAAGTTTTATATACATGCAATTACGAAATTAATATGAATACAAAAATGCTTCCCAGCAGAAAGTTTGAAGCCATATACGTTAACGCTAAAAATCTAGGTTTCGATAACCGTGGAGGGCACAGCATAGATAGCCCATTCTGGAGTATTTTGTGCTTAACAACAAACAAACAAAACTAATTCGAAGTATATATCTAAATAATAAGCAGTTTCTATTTTCGTGTCACTCCGTCATCAACGCCTTTTGTAGCGAGTTCGAAAACTAATAGTAATAGTTAACCGGTCGGAGGTAGCAAGAAGAATATTCATCAAAATTCAAAATAAATTTTAATTTTGAAATTATTTAAAACTATTAACATGGAAACTATATTAAATAAAGTTACTTCCGTTTTTCAATTCACATTATCGTCCATTCAGAAAACATTTCACACTTTTAAAGGACAAAAAGGAGTTTATTAGCCCATAAAGGACGTCTCTTTCAGCTCCCAACTATAACCACCCCTCACTACTGATGTGTTCATCTAATCTTTTCTTTAACTCAGTTATATTTTCTGCCTCCACCATTGAAAGCAGCTCTTTGCAAAAGCCAATCACTCTGTTTGAAAAGTAATACTGTAAACTGCAGATGACTCCTACGCTGCCAAAATTTGAATTTATGACCCGTTGTCCTATTCTTTTTACTGCTAAACACAACAAAGTTTGATGGATCTATATTATCAATACTCTTGATAATATTAAACACCTCAACCAAATCCTCTCTGAACCTTCTCCTCTCCAGAGAAAACACATTTAGAGATTTTAGTCTCTCCTCACAGGACAATCCCACCATCCGAGGTATCATTCTAGTGGCTCCACTCTGAACCTCTCCAACAATTCAATGTCCTTCTTGAGAAAGGGAGCCAGAAACTGTACATAATACTCTAAATGAGGCCCTATACTATACAATGAAACAATAATATTGTTACGTCTCCGTTTGTTAATTGATTTTTCGTAACTTCGTTCCGACGAAACTTTAGCGACACAAATCTTTACTTAATAAAACTGGTTTATTATTTCCGAATACAACTTTACGATACACTTATTTTCAACAATCACGCTAAAACAAACGCTATATCAACAAACGTCAACAATACTTCTGACTGCAGTTCAATTACTCACTATCTACACACACATTACATTCCCGTCACGTTGTCACCCTCTTTTATACATCAGACTACCCTATATCTAGTAAATGCTAGAGCATTCGCCAAAGTACAGGATAGTTCTAGAAAGTACAGGGCGTGAGAATAGTCACGTGATCTCGATGACGCAACAATATCCATTGCCTTGTATTCAAGATTTTTTTGATGCTACCAAAAATCTTACTAGCCCTATTACTACCTACAATACACTGTTTAGATGTGATTTTTAAGTCACAACACCAGGGTCTTTTTCTTCAACCACAATATTTAATGTATTCCCATTTAAATTGTAACAGTAATTTGAATTGTGAAAACCTATGCATCACCTTACAGTTTGGATAGTTAAACGTGCAATTATTACGTGGTTGATGTTTTTATTCTTTATATATATAGTTCAAAATGTCTCTCAAAATCTGGGCTCTGAATCTGCTTTTACACATTTTCTAACACACGAAGTTGCATATCAGAGATGTGTTTCAGCTGTGGAATGATTTGGTTAATGCATCAAATTATTGTAGCAATTTTGAATCATACTAAATGAGTGTTTAAATGTTTAAGTTTTAACTTCTTTTTATTTGAAACCTACATAATTATTTTATGGTATTTGGCCCAAACTAGCCACTACTCGACATAATTTGATGTTAGAAATCCTCATTGGCTCTAAAGTCAAATACAATTGATTAGAGTTTGGAATCACTAAATTTTTATCTAGAATAGAAGTTATGGTCAAGTACATGAAATCATGATTCTGATGGTGGCCATATTGGAAAATGGTCTCTATAAACATACTGACACCATAATTTGATTCCACTGCAATTTGTACAGTGATTAGGAAGGTCCATTCAACTTAAATCTACCAAACCTTTTCTGTATACTCGGTTGCATAAACTTCTTCATTAAAGAAAATACACTGAATCGCTCCCGGTCTATAACTTTAAACCATATACCACAATGAAAGTCGAAAACCTATCTTTAAAAAGTTTTAATATGTGAATAAATGTTAATAAATATTCAAATGGAAGAAATACAATAAGAAAGAAGACACCATTTAGTCAAATTTACGTGGCCTTTTCCAAATAGACGTCTTAAGTAAAAATGAAGACAAAGATTGATTCACAGTTCCAAGGGAAACTAAAAAATATTGATGATATTGTTACGACAGCGGAGGTCACGTGACTCTAGTAAACACGTCATATTCTCGAAGCTTCGTGAATCCTCGGGAGGTTACTAGATTTCGGTATTCTATTATATATAAGACGGTCAAGACGTGACGTTATTGAATGTGTAATTGAACTGCGGACAGAGAGAGAGTATTGTTGAGTCGAG